GTTCTTGGTGTGGGATTATATTTCCCCTAGTTCTCGGTGTGGGACTATATTCCCCCTAGTTCTCGGTGTGGGACTATATTCCCCCTACTACTCGTTGTGGGACTATATTCCCCCTAGTTCTTGGTGTGGGACTATATTCCCCCTAAGTCTTGGTGTAGGACTATATTCCCCCTAGTTCTCGATGGGACTATTTTCCCCCTAGTTCTCGGTGTGGGACTATATTCCCCCTAGTACTCGGTGTGGGACTATATTCCCCCTAGTACTCGGTGTGGGACTACAGTAACCCTAGTACTCAGTGTGGGACTATATTCCCCCTAGTACTTGGTGTGGGACTATATTCCCCCTAGTTCTCGTTGTGAGACTACAGTAACCCTAGTACTCGGTGTGGGACTATATTCCCCCTAGTACTCGGTGTGGGACTATATTCCCCGTTGTTCTCTGTGCGGGACTTTATTCCCCCTAGTTCTCGTTGTGAGACTACAGTTACCCTAGTACTCGGTGTGGGACTATATTCCCCCTAGTACTCGGTGTGGGACTATATTCCCCCTTGTTCTCTGTGCGGGACTTTATTCCCCCTAGTTCTCGTTGTGAGACTACAGTAACCCTAGTACTCGGTGTGGGACTATATTCCCCCTAGTACTTGGTGTGGGACTATATTCCCCCTAGTACTCGGTGTGGGACTATATTCCCCCTAGTACTCGGTGTGGGACTATGTGATAAATATTCAAACAGATGAGTTTATCCAAATAAGAACTTTATGACTAGAGAAGATAAATATCTCTTAGTTTAATCCATAAAGGCATCAATAAACAACGAGTAATAACCTTAGTAAACCCATACCAGGAAGTTCAAATGACATGTAGTGTTGGAGTCTTAACGAACATTTTCTTTGATGTAGGTCACAATCAAAATGTAGGCCACAATTCCTAATTCTGATACGGGACACACTGCCTTACCTTAGTGAACACATATCTGGACACACTGCCTTACCTTAGTGAACACATATCTGGACACACTGCCTTTCCTTGGTGAACACATATCTGGACACACTGCCTTTCCTTGGTGAACACATATCTAAAGAGTTAAGTTTACATGACTTGTTGTGTAGGAGATAGGTACCAGACATTTTTTTGATGTAGGTCAGAGTGACCTATATTTGATAGGCAAAACATAGTGTGGAAAATAAGACATAAACAAAACTTTATCTTTGATGTAGGTCAAAGGTCAAATCATAGGTCAAAGTGACATGCTTTTGATACATGACACAAGAAGTAAGTTTTTGTGATGACTTGTGTAGATGATAGTGCCAGGAAAAGGCAGAAAAAGGTTGGAAGGACAGAAGAAAAAACTGACATAATGTTATAGTACAACCTAGTTCCTGGTGGGAACTAATCAAATTATATATTTCATATTTTCATATATAACAACAAAATAACAATTTTTTATCTCTAAGGCAACATATAATAATATCTGGACATATGTAACCCTTTCATCAAAAAATAATGTTACACATTGGTGGTCAAATTTATCAAGGCTTTTGATGTTTCATAAAAAAAAATATAGCACATCAAGTATTTTCTTTGTAAAATGTTTTTATTAGGTAGCAAAGGAAGGCTTATGGTGTCACTTCTTAACATTTAATAAGGCTCTGGTACAAATATATCACATGGTTTATCAAAAATGTAAGGCACTATTAAGTCAGGCTTAACAGGAAAAGCTGTCACAGACATCTCTACTGCACTGACAGAGAATCACAGACATCTCTACTGAACTGACAGAGAATCACAGACATCTCTACTGAACTGACAGAGAATCACAGACATCTCTACTGAACTGACAGAGAATCACAGACATCTCTACTGAACTGACAGAGAATCACAGACATCTCTACTGAACTGACAGAGAATCACAGACATCTCTACTGAACTGACAGAGAATCACAGACATCTCAACTGAACTGACAGAGAATCACTGACATCTCTACTGAACTGACAGAGAATCACAGACATCTCTACTGAACTGACAGAGAATCACAGACATCTCTACTGAACTGACAGAGAATCACAGACATCTCTACTGAACTGACAGAGAATCACAGACATCTCTACTGAACTGACAGAGAATCACAGACATCTCTACTGAACTGACAGAGAATCACAGACATCTCTACCGAACTGACAGAGAATCACAGACATCTCTACTGAACTGACAGAGAATCACAGACATCTCTACTGAACTGACAGAGAATCACGGACATCTCTACCGAACTGACAGAGAATCACGGACATCTCTACTGAACTGACAGAGAATCACAGACATCTCTACTGAACTGACAGAGAATCACAGACATCTCTACTGAACTGACAGAGAATCACAGACATCTCTACTGAACTGACAGAGAATCACAGACTTCTCTACTGAACTGACAGAGAATCACAGACATCTCTCTTTCATGACCTTGTAGAGAGTAGAAGGCAATTTCATCTTTGTTTTTATCAAAAAGCAATTTAACATGAATAAAACATGTATGAATTCATCTTTGTTGATTGAAAAAAAACAATAAACTACATTTCTGTACACTTGCAGGGATGTCCATTAAAGCCTACGATCCAATCTGTCACTGGTAGTAATTAACATATCTATATCAGAATAGATATTGATTTGTGTGAAAAAATAACGGCATCTTTATCATGTAAACACATGTATTGATTTTGATTTCAATCTAAAGAATAAAAAATTCTTCAAAAGGACCTCCCATTAAGTTGAAAAAAATCTGCTACCATTACATGCATGTATAAATACACTGTACATATATACCAGACAACAATGGAATGTTTTCATGAACATGAACAGACACCTGAAATCAATCTTGCCATTCCCTAAAAGCAAAAATATATACAAAACCTGTACCAGATAGCTTCTTTTTCAACCAAATTTTTTAACATATCAATAATCATGCATAGCTCTTAGTACCATGAACACACAAAGAACTGTAGACAATTTAAAATAGCAAGTGTCATATCAAAATACCTGGTACTCTACAGTATACATGTAAAAATTACACACATTATGAGAGCAAATTACAACATATTTCCTGAGTACACCTCTCATATAAAAAGTAATACACCAGGCAGTAAAATAAACAGGATACAGAGCTGAAATTGCATTAACATTACAATAACAGAGCTGAAATTGCATTAACATTACAATAACAGAGCTGAAATTGCATTAACATTACAATAACAGAGCTGAAATTGCATTAACATTACAATAACAGAGCTGAAATTGCATTAACATTACAATAACAGCATATTTCTATCATTCTTTCCTAGCGTTCTCTCCTACACATCTAGTTAATCTCTTACATGAAATTGACAACCATCTAATTTACCATCCTCAATACTCCATGGCTTATGTAACCTCGAGATTTGATTGATGTTCATCAAACGATCAAAATAGTTTCTTCTTGTCTTACCCACAAAGTGTTGTTCATGGAACAATTATTCCATAACTTGTACCAGGGGGTGACAAGGGCGACAGTGGGCTTACTGAGGATGGTAATTAACATAAAGTATAAAACAGCTTGTATTCATTCTGTATCACACATTTCCCTTATCCCTTTCATACATCAGTTTATAAAATGTTCATATTCAGCTCCTTGTATACTATATGTACTTGTTACACAGCTAATCATTACTGTGTATACCACTCCTAAGAGTAAGTCACAGGTCACCATCATGGGTAAATCACTCCTTAGAGTGATTCACAGGTCATCAGTGCTATAAATACCACTTCTCAGGGCATGTCAACAGTTTTGGTCCTGGGTATACCAACACTCCTCAGTCCTGGGTATATCAACACTCCTCAGTCCTGGGTATATCAACACTCCTAAGTCCTGGGTATATCAACACTCCTCAGTCCTGGGTATATCAACACTCCTCAGTCCTGGGTATATCAACACTCCTAAGTCCTGGGTATATCAACACTCCTCAGTCCTGGGTATATCAACACTCCTCAGTCCTGGGTATATCAACACTCCTCAGTCCTGGGTATACCAACACTCCTCAGTCCTGGGTATACCAAAACTCCTCAGTCCTGGGTATACCAGCACTCTTCAGTCCTTGGTATACCAACACTCCTCAGTCCTCTGTATACTAACAGTCCTCAGTTCTGGGTATACCAACAGTCCTCAGTTCTGGGTATACCAACAGTTTTAGTCCTGGGTATACCAACAGTCCTCAGTTCTGGGTATACCAACAGTCCTCAGTTCTGGGTATACCAACAGTTTTAGTCCTGGGTATACCAACAGTCCTCAACCTGGGTATACTAACACTCCTCAGTCCTGGGTATACCAACAGTTTTAGTCCTGGGTATACCAACAGTCCTCAGTCCTTGGTATACCAACACTCCTCAGTCCTGGGTATACCAACAGTTTTAGTCCTGGGTATACCAACACTTCTCAGTCCTGGGTATACCAACACTCCTCAGTCCTGGGTATACCAACACTCCTCAGTCCTGGGTATACCAGAACTCCTCTGTCCTGGGTATACCAGCACTCTTCAGTCCTTGGTATGCCAACACTCCAAAGTCCTTGGTATACCAACACTCCTAAGTCCTGGGTATACCAACACTCGTCAGTCCTGGGTATACCACTTCTCAGTCCTGGGTATACCAACAGTTCTCAGTCCTGGGTATACCAACACTCCTCAGTCCTGGGTATGCCAACACTCCTCAGTCCTGGGTATACCAAAACTCCTCAGTCCTGGGTATACCAGCACTCTTCAGTCCTTGGTATACCAACACTCCTAAGTCCTGGGTATACCAACATTCGTCAGTCCTGGGTATACCACTTTTCAGTCCTGGGTATACCAACAGTCCTCAGTCCTGGGTATACCAACACTCCTCAGTCCTGGGTATACCACTTTTCAGTCCTGGGTATACCAACACTCCTCAGTCTTGGGTATACCAACACTCCTCAGTCTTGGGTATACCAACAGTTATCAGTCTTGGGTATACCACTCCCTAGAGCGTGTTACAGCCCTTTCCCAGTCTGTGAACACTTCTTTGTATTCTTGCCATCTTTTTGTGTCAGGTTTGAATAAATGCTCTGACTTCCGTATACTGCATAACTCTTCTTTATTCTTCCAAACTCCTGAAAGTGACATAATAGGATTAATGATATCAAAACTGGACTCAATATGAGTAATTACAAACATGTTATCTGGATATATCTGTAAACCATTTCACCATGTAGGAGTTGTGTCCCTTTGTGTGACCCACTGATAGGATTGTGTAACTTTGTAGGGGTTGTGTCCCTGTGATAGAGTTGTGTCTTTGCAAAAAATTTTGTGTCTCTTTGAACTGTATCAGTGTTGTGTCACCGCGTATGTGTTGTGTCACTGTGTATGAGTTGTGTCCCTTTGATAGAGTTGTGTCCCTGTAATAGAGCTGCCTGCCTGTAAAAGAGTTGTCTCCCTTGTGATAGAGTTGTCTCCCTGTGATAGAGTTGTCTTCCTTCGATAGAGTTGTCTCCCTGTGATAGAGTTGTCTCCCTGTAATAGAGTTGTGTCCCTGTGATAGAGTTGTGTCCCTGTAATAGAGTTGTTCCCTGTGATAGAGTTGTCCCCTTGTGAGAGTTCTCTCCCTGTGATAGAGTTGTCCCCCTGTGATAGAGTTGTCTCCCTGTGATAGAGTTGTCTCCCTGTAATAGAGTTGTGTCCCTGTGATAGAGTTGTCCCCCTGTGATAGAGTTGTGTCCCTGTGATAGAGTTGTCTCCCTGTAATAGAGTTGTGTCCCTGTGATAGAGTTGTCCCCCTGTGATAGAGTTGTCTCCTTGTGATAGAGTTGTCTCCCTGTAATAGAGTTGTGTCCCTGTGATAGAGTTGTCCCCCTGTGATAGAGTTGTCTCCCTATGATAGAGTTGTGTCCCTGTGATAGAGTTGTGTCCCTGTGATAGAGTTGTCTCCCTGTGATAGAGTTGTCCCCCTGTGATAGAGTTGTCTCCCTGTGATAGAGTTGTCCCCCTGTGATAGAGATGTGTCCCTGTGATAGAGCTGTGTCCCTGTGATAGAGTTGTCCCCTTGTGATAGAGTTGTCCCCCTGTGATAGAGATGTGTCCCTGTGATAGAGTTGTGTCCCTGTGATAGAGTTGTCTCCCTGTGATAGAGTTGTGTCCCTGTGATAGAGTTGTCTCCCTGTGATAGAGTTGTCTCCCTGTGATAGAGTTGTCTCCCTGTGATAGAGTTGTGTCCCTGTGATAGAGTTGTCCCCCTGTGATAGAGTTGTCTCCTTGTGATAGAGTTGTCTCCCTGTGATAGAGTTGTGTGGTAGCAGTACACAGTTTCTCGGTGTGGCCATGGGTGATTTTTTTGCTCATTAGATTACCCCATTATAAAGGTTTTAATTAAAAATGAAAAAAAAAATCCTTGCTAAAATTGGTCCTGTCATGTTAAAGTGGACAATGTGGGGTTTCATTTTTTTCAGGATAATATTTTAGCTTTGTGTTGGAGATTACTATTTGGGCAGTCTCGAATCTGTGTCTACGCACCAAAAACTAGCTTTACAGGAAGTGAAATTTTCATAGTGTTCACATGTGGTCATGTTATGAAGAATTTCCGCGTTGGAATTTGCTGAAATGTAAGTACTTTGTTACCATGACAGTGTTGTTGATTGTAAGATAGGTGTTTAGAATTAAATTTCTCCTAGAAAGTTGTAGTGTTGGGTTGGAATTAGCAGTATTTTTGCATTTTTAGCATTTTTTCAGTAGGTAACCATGACAATCAAATGTCAGAAATCAGAGGAAATTTTTTTTTTACACAAATTTCATCTCTCTACTGTTAATGTAATTGTTATATAGTTTATAAATATATATACATGTAATGATGTATTTTTCATAACCAATCTGCTATACCTGTATATCTCAAACATGACAAATAATTTCAGGAAAAATGCAAATTAACTGTTTACTGCTACCTGTCCCTGTGATAGAGTTGTCCCCCTGTGATAGAGTTGTCTCCCTGTGATAGAGTTGTCCCCTTGTGATAGAGTTGTCCCCCTGTGGTAGAGATGTGTCCCTGTGATAGAGTTGTGTCCCTGTGATAGAGTTGTGTCCCTGTGATAGAGTTGTCTCCCTGTGATAGAGTTGTCCCCCTGTGATAGAGTTGTCTCCCTGTGATAGAGTTGTCCCCCTGTGATAGAGATGTGTCCCTGTGATAGAGTTGTGTCCCTGTGATAGAGTTGTCCCCCTGTGATAGAGTTGTGTCCCTGTGATAGAGTTGTCCCCTTGTGATAGAGTTGTCCCCTTGTGATAGAGTTGTCCCCCTGTGATAGAGATGTGTCCCTGTGATAGAGTTGTGTCCCTGTGATAGAGTTGTCTCCCTGTGATAGAGTTGTGTCCCTGTGATAGAGTTGTCTCCCTGTGATAGAGTTGTCTCCCTGTGATAGAGTTGTCTCCCTGTGATAGAGTTGTCCCCCTGTGATAGAGATGTGTCCCTGTGATAGAGTTGTGTCCATGTGATAGAGTTGTCTCCCTGTGATAGAGTTGTCTCCCTGTGATAGAGTTGTCTCCCTGTGATAGAGTTGTGTCCCTGTGATAGAGTTGTCCCCCTGTGATAGAGTTGTCTCCCTGTGATAGAGTTGTCCCCTTGTGATAGAGTTGTCCCCCTGTGGTAGAGATGTGTCCCTGTGATAGAGTTGTGTCCCTGTGATAGAGTTGTGTCCCTGTGATAGAGTTGTCTCCCTATGATAGAGTTGTCCCCTTGTGATAGAGTTGTCTCCCTGTGATTGAGTTCTCTCCCTGTGATAGAGTTGTCCCCTTGTGATAGAGTTGTGTCCCTGTGATAGAGTTGTCTCCTTGTGATAGAGTTGTCTCCCTGTGATAGAGTTGTCTCCCTGTGATAGAGTTGTCCCCCTGTGATAGAGATGTGTCCCTGTGATAGAGTTGTGTCCCTGTGATAGAGTTGTCCCCTTGTGATAGAGTTGTGTCCCTGTGATAGAGTTGTCCCCCTGTGATAGAGTTGTCCCCCTGTGATAGAGTTGTCCCCCTGTGATAGAGTTGTCCCCCTGTGATAGAGTTGTGTCCCTGTGATAGAGTTGTGTCCCTGTGATAGAGTTGTCCCCCTGTGATAGAGTTGTCCCCCTGTGATAGAGTTGTCCCCCTGTGATAGAGTTGTCCCCCTGTGATAGAGTTGTGTCCCTGTGATAGAGTTGTCCCCCTGTGATAGAGTTGTGTCCCTGTGATAGAGTTGTCTCCCTGTGATAAAGTTGTCTCCCTGTGATAGAGTTGTCTCCCTGTGATAGAGTTGTCCCCCTGTGATAGAGTTGTGTCCCTGTGATAGAGTTGTGTCCCTGTGATAGAGTTGTGTCCCTGTGATAGAGTTGTCCCCCTGTGATAGAGTTGTGTCCCTGTGATAGAGTTGTGTCCCAGTGATAGAGTTGTGTCCCTGTGATAGAGTTGTCCCCCTGTGATAGAGATGTGTCCCTGTGATAGAGTTGTGTCCCTGTGATAGAGTTGTCCCCTTGTGATAGAGTTGTGTCCCTGTGATAGAGTTGTGTCCCTGTGATAGAGTTGTCTCTCTATGATAGAGTTGTCCCCCTGTTATAGAGTTGTCCCCCTGTGATAGAGTTGTACCCCTGTGATAGAGTTGTCCCCCTGTGATAGAGTTGTGTCCCTGTGATAGAGTTGTCTCCCTGTGATAAAGTTGTCTCCCTGTGATAGAGTTGTCTCCCTGTGATAGAGTTGTGTCCCTGTGATAGAGTTGTGTCCCTGTAGTTCTGTTCCCATTTACCTGTTTTGCTAATATCAAATCTACCAAGGTAGTCACAAGGGAGATAATTCATATAATCTTGCCAGATCATTGAAAATCAAATCTATTTGTCAGGTAAGAAAATATAAAGTCAGCATGATACATACCTGCATGTAGACCAGCTAAGAAGGCAGCACCGAGACTGGTTATATCAGCTCTTTGTTTGGCACGATCAATAACTTGGCCAGTGAGGTCGGAAATAAGCTGCATCAAGAAATCATTATTGCAAACTCCACCATCAGCTCTAGAAAACAACACAGTTTAAAGTAAGTTAATTACTTTTGGTCCTTCTCTAGAAAAATGCGATAAGTAAAACAATCCTCCATACCATCAATTTTACTCTCAGCACACCTGGAACATGTCATGGCAAAATTGAAGGTTTCCTTTGCGACACCTTGTGGACAAGACGAAAAGACTAGTTTGATCCTTTGATGTACATCAATTGAATCTCCAGGTTGCATAACCGTATATTGTAATGACTTTGAAGTGGGGTGTAGCTCCTCCATAATTACCATAAGGAGAATATAAGCCTGTGATTGGTCAATTTTTTTGCTACTGGAGCCAATCAGTTAAATATGCTTTTGCTGGAGTGAAGAGAGTGAAAGTGATTGTCACCACTGGAGAATTGAGGGTGGTTCCAGGGGTGCAGAGAGTGAAAGTGATTGTAACCCCTGGATTATTGAGGATCGTTCCAGGGATGCAGAGAGTTAAAGTGATTGTAACCCCTGGATTATCGAGGATCGTTCCAGGGATGCAGAGAGTGAAAGTGATCGTAACCCCTGGAGTATCGAGGATGGTTCCAGGGGTGTAGAGAGTTAAAGTGATTGTAACCCCTGGAGTATCGAGGATGGTTCCAGGGGTGTAGAGAGTTAAAGTGATTGTAACCCCTGGAGTATCGAGGATGGTTCCAGGAGTGTAGAGCGTGAAAGTGATTGTAATCCCTGGAGTATCGAGGATCGTTCCTGGGATGCAGAGAGTTAAAGTGATTGTAACCCCTGGAGTATCGAGGATCGTTCCAGGGGTGTAGAGAGTGAAAGTGATCGTAACCCCTGGAGTATCGAGGATCGTTCCAGGGATGCAGAGAGTTAAAGTGATCGTAACCCCTGGAGTATCTAGGATCGTTCCTGGGATGCAGAGAGTGAAAGTGATCGTAACCCCTGGAGTATCGAGGATCGTTCCAGGGGTGTAGAGAGTGAAAGTGATCGTAACCCCTGGAGTATCGAGGATCGTTCCAGGGGTGTAGAGAGTGAAAGTGATCGTAACCCCTATAGTATCGAGGATGGTTCCAGGGGTGTAGAGAGTGATAGTGATTGTTACCCCTGGAGTATCGAGGATGGTACCGGGGGTATAGAGAGTGATAGTGATTGTTACCCCTGGAGTATCGAGGATGGTTCCAGGGATGTAGAGAGTGATAGTGATCGTAACCCCTGGAGTATCGAGGATGGTTCCAGGGGTGTAGAGAGTTAAAGTAATTGTAACCCCTGGAGTATCGAGGATGGTTCCAGGAGTGTAGAGAGTGAAAGTGATCGTAACCCCTGGAGTATCGAGGATGGTTCCAGGGGTGCAGAGAGTTAAAGTGATTGTAACCCCTGGAGTATCGAGGATCGTTCCAGGAGTGTAGAGAGTGTAAGTGATTGTAACCCCTGGAGTATCGAGGATCGTTCCAGGGGTGTAGAGAGTGAAAGTGATTGTAACCCCTGGAGTATCGAGGATCGTTCCAGGGGTGTAGAGAGTGAAAGTGATCGTAACCCCTGGAGTATCGAGGATCGTTCCAGGGGTGTAGAGAGTGAAAGTGATCGTAACCCCTGGAGTATCGAGGATCGTTCCAGGGGTGTAGAGAGTGAAAGTGATCGTAACCCCTGGAGTATCGAGGATCGTTCCAGGGGTGTAGAGAGTGAAAGTGATCGTAACCCCTGGAGTATCGAGGATCGTTCCAGGGGTGTAGAGAGTGAAAGTGATTGTAACCCCTGGAGTATCGAGGATCGTTCCAGGGGTGTAGAGAGTGAAAGTGATTGTAACCCCTGGAGTATCGAGGATCGTTCCAGGAGTGTAGAGAGTGAAAGTGATTGTAACCCCTGGAGTATCGAGGATGGTTCCAGGGGTGTAGAGAGTGAAAGTGATTGTAACCCCTGGAGTATCGAGGATGGTTCCAGGGGTGTAGAGAGTGAAAGTGATTGTAACCCCTGGAGTATCGAGGATGGTTCCAGGGGTGTAGAGAGTGAAAGTGATTGTAACCCCTGGAGTATCGAGGATGGTTCCAGGGGTGTAGAGAGTTAAGGTGATTGTAACCCCTGGAGTATCGAGGATCGTTCCAGGAGTGTAGAGAGTGAAAGTGATTGTAACCCCTGGAGTATCGAGGATGGTTCCAGGGGTGTAGAGAGTGAAAGTGATCGTAACCCCTGGAGTATCGAGGATCGTTCCAGGGGTGTAGAGAGTGAAAGTGATCGTAACCCCTGGAGTATCGAGGATGGTTCCAGGGGTGTAGAGAGTGAAAGTGATCGTAACCCCTGGAGTATCGAGGATCGTTCCAGGGGTGTAGAGAGTTAAAGTGATCGTAACCCCTGGAGTATCGAGGATCGTTCCAGGGGTGTAGAGAGTTAAAGTGATTGTAACCCCTGGAGTATCGAGGATCGTTCCAGGGGTGTAGAGAGTTAAAGTGATTGTAACCCCTGGAGTATCGAGGATCGTTCCAGGGGTGTAGAGAGTGAAAGTGATCGTAACCCCTGGAGTATCGAGGATCGTTCCAGGGGTGTAGAGAGTGAAAGTGATCGTAACCCCTGGAGTATCGAGGATCGTTCCAGGGGTGTAGAGAGTGAAAGTGATCGTAACCCCTGGAGTATCGAGGATCGTTCCAGGGGTGTAGAGAGTGAAAGTGATCGTAACCCCTGGAGTATCGAGGATCGTTCCAGGGGTGCTGAGAGTGAAAGTGATCGTAACCCCTGGAGTATCGAGGATCTTTCCAGGGGTGTAGAGAGTTAAAGTGATTGTAACCCCTGGAGTATCGAGGATGGTTCCAGGGGTGTAGAGAGTTAAAGTGATTGTAACCCAGAGTATCGTTCAGGAGGATGAAAGTGATTCCAGGAATGTAGAGAGTGTAAGTGATTGTAATCCCTGGAGTATCGAGGATCGTTCCAGGGGTGCTGAGAGTGTAAGTGATTGTAACCCCTGGAGTATCGAGGATGGTTCCAGGGGTGTAGAGAGTTAAAGTGATTGTAACCCCTGGAGTATCGAGGATCGTTCCAGGAGTGTAGAGAGTGAAAGTGATTGTAACCCCTGGAGTATCGAGGATGGTTCCAGGAGTGTAGAGAGTGTAAGTGATCGTAACCCCTGAGTATCGAGGATCGTTCCAGGGGTGTAGAGAGTGAAAGTGATCGTAACCCCTGGAGTATCGAGGATCGTTCCAGGGGTGTAGAGAGTTAAAGTGATCGTAACCCCTGGAGTATCGAGGATCGTTCCAGGGGTGTAGAGAGTGAAAGTGATCGTAACCCCTGGAGTATCGAGGATCGTTCCAGGAGTGTAGAGAGTGTAAGTGATCGTAACCCCTGGAGTATCGAGGATCGTTCCAGGGGTGCTGAGAGTGAAAGTGATTGTAACCCCTGGAGTATCAAGGATCTTTCCAGGGGTGTAGAGAGTTAAACTGATTGTAACCCCTGGAGTATCGAGGATGGTTCCAGGGGTGTAGAGAGTTAAAGTGATTGTAACCCCTGGAGTATCGAGGATCATTCCAGGAATGTAGAGAGTGAAAGTGATTGTAACCCCTGGAGTATCGAGGATGGTTCCAGGGGTGTAGAGAGTGAAAGTGATTGTAACCCCTGGAGTATCGAGGATGGTTCCAGGGGTGTAGAGAGTTAAAGTGATTGTAACCCCTGGAGTATCGAGGATCGTTCCAGGAGTGTAGAGAGTGAAAGTGATTGTAACCCCTGGAGTATCGAGGATGGTTCCAGGAGTGTAGAGAGTGTAAGTGATCGTAACCCCTGGAGTATCGAGGATCGTTCCAGGAGTGTAGAGAGTGAAAGTGATTGTAACCCCTGGAGTATCGAGGATCGTTCCAGGGGTGTAGAGAGTGAAAGTGATTGTAACCCCTGGAGTATCGAGGATGGTACCAGGAGTGTAGAGAGTGTAAGTGATTGTAATCCCTGGAGTATCGAGGATCGTTCCAGGGGTGCTGAGAGTGTAAGTGATTGTAACCCCTGGAGTATCGAGGATCTTTCCAGGGGTGCTGAGAGTGTAAGTGATTGTAACCCCTGGAGTATCTAGGATGGTTCCAGGAGTGTAGAGAGTGAAAGTGAGAGGATGAATAAAATCAAACACTGAAAAATTTTTTAAAACTTTAAAGAAGATCACTTTAAGTGTTATTGACAAGAAAATTTTATTGAATGCAATGTTTAGAAAATGACATTAACTGTAAGGATTATAATGTGAAACAATTTGTACTTGGTAAAAGTTGTACAAAACCATTTCCATTGGTATCAAAGTCATCCTTCAATATTTCATTCCATCCAAATTTCGGAATTATTACTCTAACACACTGAATTTTTATGAATTACCATAACATCTGATGTTCTGTAAAACATATTCTGTGCAGCTGACCTTAAAGTGTCTTCCTCCACAAACAAAAGCTCGTCAAAAGAATGGATACAAAATTACTAAAACTGACATCCATCTTTTGTCCTTTTTATTATTATTCAAAAATATAAGGTTTCTTACACTTGTATCAAATGTACTATATTAGGGCTGTCAGAGACGGTTTATTTTCTCCAAATGGGACAAAATTTAAGTATGAAAAATAACAAAGGGCAATTCGAGAGTGATGGTTCTGGTGCACTGCACTTCTCCTTGTTCAGACCTATCTACCCATGAAGTTCCATGTTTATACCTCTTATAAAAAGTAACAAAGGGCAATAACTCCTAAATTATGCAAAAGAGAGTGATGGTTCTGGACCACTGCACTTCTCCTTGTTCAGATCTATCTACCTGAGACGTTGTATGTTGATACCTCTTACAGTTTTTGAGTTATACTCCAGACAAAATTACTTGGGACGAACCAACAGACAGACAAAGGGACACTATATAAAAATTCATTACTGAATACATTAAATCATTCGATATGTGCCAAGGTAAAAGAAGGGCAACATCAAATCAATGAGCTTGTTAAAATAAATGTTAAATTACAGGGAAACTGATGTATGACCTACAATAGAGCAGGTATACAACATATTTATTACAGGAATATTACATGACCTGCCTGATCAATAGGAGAGTTCCACTTTAGACTCTTTCAGAATGGCTTCGTACAGGATTTTGAATCTGAAGGCAATAGATTCCAGCAGTGCCCTTACCTGATCACACAGGAGAGTTCCACTTTAGACTCTTTCAGAATGGCTTCGTACAGGATTTTGAATCTGAAGGCAACAGATTCCAGCAGTGCCCGTACAAGGTGGGCCTTTGTGGTAGTGGGTTTTATTCCAATGATGGAGGAGGCTGCCTTGTCATCATTTATAGGGGCCTGTAAAAAAAAAACACAAAGTCCGACAATCAAAAACTGAATTCAGCACAAAGAACTATTGATCATAACTTTCTTACAAACAAGGTAAAGATACCAGGATTCATCTGATATCAGAAAGTGGTTAATATAAATCATTCACTTTGTTTACTATGACCAAGGAATGTTTGTACAAAATTTTATCAAAATTGATTGAAGAGTTTTGGAGTCAGCTGTTTACATATGAACGGCATGAATAGACAAACAGGGCCTTTACATGGCAGGAGAATTAATTTAAAGTTAAAATAAAATTGTAAAATCTCTGAAAATATGGAAAACTGTAACATTACAAAAGGAAAGGAGATGATGAGGATGTATCAGTTTGATAGATGATGAGGATGTATCAGTTTGATAGATGATGAGGATGTATCAGTTTGATAGATGATGAGGATGTATCAGTTTGATAGATGATGAGGATGTATCAGTTTGATAGATGATGAGGATGTATCAGTTTGATAGATGATGAGGATGTATCAGTTTGATAGATGATGAGGATGTATCAGTTTGATAGATGATGAGGATGTATCAGTTTGATAGATGATGAGGATGTATCAGTTTGATAGATGATGAGGATGTATCAGTTTGATAGATGATGATGTATCAGTTTGATAGATGATGAGGATGTATCAGTTTGATAGATGATGAGGATGTATCAGTTTGATAGATGATGAGGATGTATCAGTTTGATAGATGATGATGTATCAGTTTGATAGATGATGAAGATGTATCAGTTTGATAGATGATGAGGATGTATCAGTTTGATAGATGATGAGGATGTATCAGTTTGATAGATGATGAGGATGTATCAGTTTGATAGATGATGAGGATGTATCAGTTTGATAGATGATGAGGATGTATCAGTTTGATAGATGATGAGGATGTATCAGTTTGATAGATGATGAGGATGTATCAGTTTGATAGATGATGATGTATCAGTTTGATAGATGATGAGGATGTATCAGTTTGATAGATGATGAGGATGTATCAGTTTGATAGATGATGAGGATGTATCAGTTTGATAGATGATGAGGATGTATCAGTTTGATAGATGATGAGGATGTATCAGTTTGATAGATGATGAGGATGTATCAGTTTGATAGATGATGAGGATGTATCAGTTTGATAGATGATGAGGATGTATCAGTTTGATAGATGATGAGGATGTATCAGTTTGATAGATGATGATGTATCAGTTTGATAGATGATGAGGATGTATCAGTCTGATAGATGATGAGGATGTATCAGTTTGATAGATGATGAGGATGTATCAGTTTGATAGATGATGAGGATGTATCAGTTTGATAGATGATGAGGATGTATCAGTTTGATAGATGATGAGGATGTATCAGTTTGATAGATGATGAGGATGTATCAGTTTGATAGATGATGAGGATGTATCAGTTTGATAGATGATGATGTATCAGTTTGATAGATGATGAGGATGTATCAGTTTGATAGATGATGAGGATGTATCAGTTTGATAGATGATGATGATGTATCAGTTTGATAGATGATGATGTATCAGTTTGATAGATGATGAGGATGTATCAGTTTGATAGATGATGAGGATGTATCAGTTTGATAGATGATGAGGATGTATCAGTTTGATAGATGATGAGGATGTATCAGTTTGATAGATGATGAGGATGTATCAGTTTGATAGATGATGAGGATGTATCAGTTTGATAGATGATGAGGATGTATCAGTTTGATAGATGATGATGTATCAGTTTGATAGATGATGAGGATGTATCAGTTTGATAGATGATGATGTATCAGTTTGATAGATGATGAGGATGTATCAGTTTGATAGATGATGAGGATGTATCAGTTTGATAGATGATGAGGATGTATCAGTTTGATAGATGATGAGGATGTATCAGTTTGATAGATGATGAGGATGTATCAGTTTGATAGATATGAGTTTGATAGATGATGATGTATCAGTTTGATAGATGATGATGATGTTTGATAGTTTGATAGATGATGAGGATGTATCAGTTTGATAGATGATGAGGATGTATCAGTTTGATAGATGATGATGTATCAGTTTGTGATGAGGATGTATCAGTTTGATAGATGATGAGGATGTATCAGTTTGATAGATGATGAGGATGTATCAGTTTGATAGATGATGAGGATGTATCAGTTTGATAGATGATGATGATGATGTATCAGTTTGATAGATGATGAGGATGTATCAGTTTGATAGATGATGAGGATGTATCAGTTGGATAGATGATGATGTATCAGTTTGATAGATGATGAGGATGTATCAGTTTGATAGATGATGAGGATGTATCAGTTTGATAGATGATGAGGATGTATCAGTTTGATAGATGATGAGGATGTATCAGTTTGATAGATGATGAGGATGTATCAGTTTGATAGATGATGAGGATGTATCAGTTTGATAGATGATGAGGATGTATCAGTTTGATAGATGATGAGGATGTATCAGTTTGATAGATGATGAGGATGTATCAGTTTGATAGATGATGAGGATGTATCAGTTTGATAGATGATGAGGATGTATCAGTTTGATAGATGATGAGGATGTATCAGTTTGATAGATGATGAGGATGTATCAGTTTGATAGATGTATCATGAGATGATGAGGATGTATCAGTTTGATAGATGATGAGGATGTATCAGTTTGATAGATGATGAGGATGTATCAGTTTGATAGATGATGAGGATGTATCAGTTTGATAGATGATGAGGATGTATCAGTTTGATAGATGATGAGGATGTATCAGTTTGATAGATGATGAGGATGTATCAGTTTGATAGATGATGAGGATGTATCAGTTTGATAGATGAGGATGTATCAGTTTGATAGATGATGAGGATGTATCAGTTTGATAGATGATGAGGATGTATCAGTTTGATAGATGATGAGGATGTATCAGTTTGATAGATGATGAGGATGTATCAGTTTGATAGATGATGAGGATGTATCAGTTTGATAGATGATGAGGATGTATCAGTTTGATAGATGATGATGTATCATGTATCAGTTTTAGATGATGATGATGATGAGGATGTATCAGTTTGATAGATGATGAGGATGTATCAGTTTGATAGATGATGAGGATGTATCAGTTTGATAGATGATGAGGATGTATCAGTTTGATAGATGATGAGGATGTATCAGTTTGATAGATGATGAGGATGTATCAGTTTGATAGATGATGATGTATCAGTTTGATAGATGATGAGGATGTATCAGTTTGATAGATGATGAGGATGTATCAGTTTGATAGATGATGATGTATCAGTTTGATAGATGATGATGTATCAGTTTGATAGATGATGAGGATGTATCAGTTTGATAGATGATGAGGATGTATCAGTTTGATAGATGATGAGGATGTATCAGTTTGATAGATGATGAGGATGTATCAGTTGGATAGATGATGAGGATGTATCAGTTTGATAGATGATGATGTATCAGTTTGATAGATGATGAGGATGTATCAGTTTGATAGATGATGAGGATGTATCAGTTTGATAGATGATGAGGATGTATCAGTTTGATAGATGATGAGGATGTATCAGTTTGATAGATGATGAGGATGTATCAGTTTGATAGATGATGAGGATGTATCAGTTTGATAGATGATGAGGATGTATCAGTTGGATAGATGATGAGGATGTATCAGTTTGATAGATGATGAGGATGTATCAGTTTGATAGATGATGAGGATGTATCAGTTTGATAGATGATGAGGATGTATCAGTTTGATAGATGATGAGGATGTATCAGTTTGATAGATGATGAGGATGTATCAGTTTGATAGATGATGAGGATGTATCAGTTTGATAGATGATGAGGATGTATCAGTTTGATAGATGATGAGGATGTATCAGTTTGATAGATGATGAGGATGTATCAGTTTGATAGATGATGAGGATGTATCAGTTTGATAGATGATGAGGATGTATCAGTTTGATAGATGATGAGGATGTATCAGTTTGATAGATGATGAGGATGTATCAGTTTGATAGATGATGAGGATGTATCAGTTTGATAGATGATGAGGATGTATCAGTTTGATAGATGATGAGGATGTATCAGTTTGATAGATGATGAGGATGTATCAGTTTGATAGATGATGAGGATGTATCAGTTTGATAGATGATGAGGATGTATCAGTTTGATAGATGATGAGGATGTATCAGTTTGATAGATGATGAGGATGTATCAGTTTGATAGATGATGAGGATGTATCAGTTTGATAGATGATGAGGATGTATCAGTTTGATAGATGATGAGGATGTATCAGTTTGATAGATGATGTATCAGTTTGATAGATGATGAGGATGTATCAGTTTGATAGATGATGAGGATGTATCAGTTTGATAGATGATGAGGATGTATCAGTTTGATAGATGATGAGGATGTATCAGTTTGATAGATGATGAGGATGTATCAGTTTGATAGATGATGAGGATGTATCAGTTCGATAGATGATGATGATGTATCAGTTTGATAGATGAGGATGTATCAGTTTGATAGATGATGAGGATGTATCAGTTTGATAGATGATGAGGATGTATCAGTTTGATAGATGATGAGGATGTATCAGTTTGATAGATGATGAGGATGTATCAGTTTGATAGATGATGAGATGTATCATGATGAGGATGTATCAGTTTGATAGATGATGAGGATGTGTCAGTTTGATAGATGATGAGGATGTATCAGTTTGATAGATGATGAGGATGTATCAGTTTGATAGATGATGAGGATGTATCAGTTTGATAGATGATGAGGATGTATCAGTTTGATAGATGATGAGGATGTATCAGTTTGATAGATGATGAGGATGTATCAGTTTGATAGATGATTATGATGTATCAGTTTGATAGATGATGAGGATGTATCAGTTTGATAGATGATGAGGATGTATCAGTTTGATAGATGATGAGGATGTATCAGTTTGATAGATGATGAGGATGTATCAGTTTGATAGATGAGGATGTATCAGTTTGATAGATGATGATGTATCAGTTTGATAGATGATGAGGATGTATCAGTTTGATAGATGATGAGGATGTATCAGTTTGATAGATGATGAGGATGTATCAGTTTGATAGATGATGAGGATGTATCAGTTTGATAGATGATGAGGATGTATCAGTTTGATAGATGATGAGGATGTATCAGTTTGATAGATGATGAGGATGTATCAGTTTGATAGATGATGAGGATGTATCAGTTTGATAGATGATGAGGATGTATCAGTTTGATAGATGATGAGGATGTATCAGTTTGATAGATGATGAGGATGTATCAGTTTGATAGATGATGTATGATAGTTTGATAGATGATGAGGATGTATCAGTTTGATAGATGATGAGGATGTATCAGTTTGATAGATGATGAGGATGTATCAGTTTGATCAGTTTGATGATGAGGATGTATCAGTTTGATAGATGAGGATGTATCAGTTTGATAGATGATGAGGATGTATCAGTTTGATAGATGATGAGGATGTATCAGTTTGATAGATGATGAGGATGTATCAGTTTGATAGATGATGAGGATGTATCAGTTTGATAGATGATGAGGATGTATCAGTTTGATAGATGATGAGGATGTATCAGTTTGATAGATGATGAGGATGTATCAGTTTGATAGATGATGAGGATGTATCAGTTTGATAGATGATGAGGATGTATCAGTTTGATAGATGATGAGGATGTATCAGTTTGATAGATGATGAGGATGTATCAGTTTGATAGATGATGAGGATGTATCAGTTTGATAGATGATGAGGATGTATCAGTTTGATAGATGATGATGATGTATCAGTTTGATAGATGATGAGGATGTATCAGTTTGATAGATGATGAGGATGTATCAGTTGGATAGATGATGAGGATGTATCAGTTTGATAGATGATGAGGATGTATCAGTTTGATAGATGATGAGGATGTATCAGTTTGATAGATGATGAGGATGTATCAGTTTGATAGATGATGAGGATGTATCAGTTTGATAGATGATGAGGATGTATCAGTTTGATAGAGGATGTATCAGTTTGATAGATGATGAGGATGTATCAGTTTGATAGATGATGAGGATGTATCAGTTTGATAGATGATGAGGATGTATCAGTTTGATAGATGATGAGGATGTATCAGTTTGATAGATGATGAGGATGTATCAGTTTGATAGATGATGATGTATCAGTTTGATAGATGATGAGGATGTATCAGTTTGATAGATGATGAGGATGTATCAGTTTGATAGATGATGAGGATGTATCAGTTTGATAGATGATGAGGATGTATCAGTTTGATAGATGATGAGGATGTATCAGTTTGATAGATGATGAGGATGTATCAGTTTGATAGATGATGAGGATGTATCAGTTTGATAGATGATGAGGATGTATCAGTTTGATAGATGATGAGGATGTATCAGTTTGATAGATGATGAGGATGTATCAGTTTGATAGATGATGAGGATGTATCAGTTTGATAGATGATGAGGATGTATCAGTTTGATAGATGATGAGGATGTATCAGTTTGATAGATGATGAGGATGTATCAGTTTGATAGATGATGAGGATGTATCAGTTTGATAGATGATGAGGATGTATCAGTTTGATAGATGATGAGGATGTATCAGTTTGATAGATGATGAGGATGTATCAGTTTGATAGATGATGAGGATGTATCAGTTTGATAGATGATGAGGATGTATCAGTTTGATAGATGATGATGTATCAGTTTGATAGATGATGATGTATCAGTTTGATAGATGATGAGGATGTATCAGTTTGATAGATGATGAGGATGTATCAGTTTGATAGATGATGAGGATGTATCAGTTTGATAGATGATGAGGATGTATCAGTTTGATAGATGATGATGTATCAGTTTGATAGATGATGATGATGTATCAGTTTGATAGATGAGGATGTATCAGTTTGATAGATGATGATGTATCAGTTTGATAGATGATGATGTATCAGTTTGATAAATTTTTCTTCAAAACACAGAAGAGAAGTAATATCTGCATGAAACAGTGTCAAGTTGTCACATAAAACACAACATCTTATAATGTTTTATTTTTCGTCCATTTATCATATGTACATGTGTTTGTAAAATCAGCATCAGCTTTTTCATGAACTAATTTCCAAACATATTTGATATCCTTTCTGTGATGGTATATGTTGGGCCTTTTTGTGGTTAAAGTTCCACCAAGTCTATAAATAGCCTGGACAGCTATCAGTTGATCCAGTTAATGGCTACAATGCTGAGTGTCCTACACAACAGCTTATCCAGTTGATGGCTATAAATGCTGAGTGTCCTACACAACAGCTTATCCAGTTGATGGCTATAAATACTGAGTGTCCTACACAGCAGCTGATCCAGTTGATGGCTATAAATACCGAGTGTCCTACACAGCTGCTGATCCAGTTGATGGCTATAAATGCTGAGTGTCCTACACAACAGCTTAACCAGTTGATGGCTATAAATGCTTAGTGTCCTACACAACAGCTGATCCAGTTGATGGCTATAAATGCCGAGTGTCCTACACAACAGCTGATACAGTTGATGGCTATAAATACTGAGTGTCCTACACAGCAGCTGATCCAGTTGATGGCTATAAATACCGAGGTTGAGTGTCCTACACAGCAGCTAAAAATGTTCATTTCTTAAATATACAACATGAAATTGGAATAACAACAAAATCAATCAAGTTTCACTCCAATCACCAATTTCTTCACAATTCTTTTCTGTAAATGTCAGATCTGTAAATGGGTTTCAGATCTCTAAGTTGTATTGTCTGCTGATAATTAGTTGTCAGTGAAGAGACATGTATTACTGAATTAAGGATTCAAGCCTCTCCTTGACCTTTGCCCTTTCCTTACAGGTAAGCATCTCCCCTTAGTATACAGGATACTTACCTGGTACTGATTCAGCGATCCGTGAAGAGTCAGAAACATCATCAAAAAAACCTGAAAGAATAGATTGAAGATTACACCTGGGCTAATTAACAGCTACAGAAGTTTTATTGTTTCTTCATTGTAACCAGAAAAGATGTGACATTTTTGAAATGTAACAAGTAATATAAACCAAAACTTTGTTCCAATCTATAATTAATAACTTTTACATATAATGTACTCAAAGCTTTCGATCCAAACTTTAACTACAATAATATTTTGGAAACAAAGTAAAATCAGAGATCTGGTTTTAATGTGACTGCCCATTTTATAATTATAATATCTTATTTGTTTAGTGACACCAGTAGACTATGCTTTAACAATGATATAGTTGTGAGGCCCATAGTACCTACCAACAGACTTGTCCCCATAGTACCTACCAATAGACTTGTCCCCATTGTACCTACCAATAGACTTGTCCCCATTGTACCTACCAATAGACTTGTCCCCATTGTACCTACCAATAGACTTGTCCCCATTGTACCTACCAATAGACTTGTCCCCATTGTACCTACCAATAGACTTGTCCCCATTGTACCTACCAACAGACTTGTCCTCATGGTACCTACCAATAGACTTGTCCCCATTGTACCTACCAATAGACTTGTCCCCATTGTACCTACCAATAGACTTGTCCCCATTGTACCTACCAATAGACTTGTCCCCATTGTACCTACCAACAGACTTGTCCTCATGGTACCTACCAATAGACTTGACCCCATTGTACCTACCAATAGACTTGTCCCAATTGTACCTACCAATAGACTTCTCCCCATTGTACCTACCAATAGACTTGTCCCCATTGTACCTACCAATAGACTTGTCCCCATTGTACCTACCAACAGACTTGTCCTCATGGTACCTACCAATAGACTTGTCCCCATTGTACCTACCAATAGACTTGTCCCCATTGTACCTACCAATAGACTTGTCCCCATTGTACCTACCAATAGACTTGTCCCCATTGTACCTACCAACAGACTTGTCCTCATGGTACCTACCAATAGACTTGTCCCCATTGTACCTACCAATAGACTTGTCCCAATTGTACCTACCAATAGACTTGTCCCCATTGTACCTACCAATAGACTTGTCCCCATTGTACCTACCAATAGACTTGTCCCCATTGTACCTACCAATAGACTTGGCCCAGTCTATAACAATACCGGTATCAGTTATGGCCCCTTCTGCTACATACACCAATTCATCCTTTATCTTCCAGCCAATCTGAGGGTATAAACCTAAAAATACAAAAAGTTTTGATGTAGTTAGAAATTCTCCAGGACAAACTGATAACTGAGAATTTTATTTAATATATTAGATGACGGAGCAGACTTGTGATGTGAATAATGAATAAGTCAATATCTAATGACTTTCTTAATTCAACCTTAGTAATTCTACAAAAAAATCAAATATTTAGTTCCAATATTTTGTAGACATTTTCACGTGTTAAATCTTTATAAAAACTAAGCTAGGAGTAGAGCCAACATTATCACTTCAGTGCAGGTATGGAGTGTTCATGTTACACTTCGCTTGGATAACACCTGGTATGCAGGGTGATTGAGGAATAGGGACAAACTACACAGGATATCAATCCCAACATGTGACTTTCATTATAACGCCACAACTTGTCCACGTTGTAGGTACTTCAGGAAGTCCACAAAGTTCAGGGAGAATAAAATAAAATACCAACTTACTGAAAACTTAACAAAGTGATAAATTACAAATATCAAAAAGATCAATAATGATTTATAAACCTGGAGAGTATCTACCTGCTACTGAAGCATGAGGTGAGCTGCCAGTGTTCACATCTACAAACGTCCCTGTTCCCATGGTGCATTTCATATCTCCAACGCCATAGCAACACTCTCCAAACATGGCCGACATCTGGTCAGATATCTATTTCGAGGATTACAAACATTGTAATATGTAATAATTTTTCATAAACAAACTTCAAACTGACAATAAATACCGTGATCCTAATTACATGTAATAATGAAGGGATTCAAATCTTTTCATCCCAAATATTAGAATTCTATTTATTCTAAACATGTTTTGTGACAATGATATTAGAAATTCTGGCTGGTTTGAATAATATGATGTTTTCACGTGTGAAGTGGGTGAGTTTTCAATTAAAGCCATGATAAATTAGAACTGTGAATTTTACAAAGTCTTACCATAGCTGTAATAGGAATAGCAGCACCAAACAGAGAAGAATCAGTTTTACCAAACAAGCCACTGTAGTAAAAATAAATCACTTTAGTCTACAAACAATCTGACCTAGTTTTAAACACTTTTTAAAATACAATACAATTAAAATTTACAGAAAATCATCTGAGAACGTGTGTCCTGTCAGTTACTGTCAAATTACTGATGAATAACTCATGTCACCTCCATGTGACCTCCATGTAACCTCCATGTGTCTGACTCATGTCACCTCCATGTGTCTGACTCATGTGACCTCCATGTGTCTGACTCATGTCACCTCCATGTGTCTGATTCATGTGACCTACATGTGACCTACATGTGACCTCCATGTGTCCATCTCATGTGACCTCCATGTGACCCCCATGTGTCTGACTCATGTGACCTCCATGTGTCTGACTCATGTGACCTCCATGTGTCTGACTCATGTGACCTCCATGTGTCTGACTCATGTGACCTCCATGTGTCTGATTCATGTGACCTCCATTTGACCTCCATGTGTCCGACTTATGACACCAGTTGTTTGAGTTATCTGTTTGACAAAAAATAGTGACTCAAATTTATTTTAAGCTTTTTCACTTGTTTGATCCAGATTCATCACAACATAAATACATATATATAGATAAAGAAAATATAAAAACAGTGTGACCAGTCAGAAACCAATGTCTATATACTATACAGAAAGTTATATCAGGCAGCAGGCAGGAAAAACAGTAACCAGGGACATTAATTAATACAGAAATAAAGTCCACACTTCATACCTTGTATCTCTGATCTCAGGTAGCATGTTCATCGGAATGTTGAGAAGGTTGCATATTATAGAACTCCATTCTACCTAAAATGTAGCACGTCATATTAACATCATAAATATTTGTCAGGGAATGAAAAAGATGAGAGATAAAGACGACTCTATCACAATAGAATCAGTGGACCTTTGTAAAAACAACAACTAGTACTGTAGAAACTTATCTCTAATATTTACCTGGAAAGGATCAAACAAGCCTGTCCCACTGGCATTGGAATAGTCTGTTGCATGAACCTTCTCACCTGTCAGTTTCCATAGCAACCAGGTATCTATACATCCAAACATCACCTGGTCTTCGGAGGCTCTATTCCTCAACTACAAACAATATATGTAATGTTGTGTATAATCATGATCACATAAACCCTTAAATTCTAGAATAATTTAATTAGTTAACTGTTTTTAACAAGTATTAAACTGTAGATTTTAAGAAGTAATTAAGTGTATGACCTAACAGGTATTTACCTGTAACAAGCATCCAATGGTTAGATTTAACATTTAATATTCAAAGATCAAATTTAGCAAGTATTTAATGGTTACGTTTAACATGTTTGGTAAGACTGAACAAATATTTAATGGTTACGTTTAACATGTTTGGTAAGACTGAACAAATATTTAATGGTTAGATGTTATTTGTTACCTTAAGATAATACTAATTAAATAAAATCAATCTGATAGTTAAACTCCTGTTCAAACATTGTAGCTGATACCATTACACACAGAATCTCATATGAACCGTCAAGACACTTTAATAGATGAGACCAAGAACCGTTAACTGAGAGTCATATTATGTGAATGGAAGTGATAAGTTTATATGATAGGACATTTACTTAAATATAGAACAAACGTAAATGTATCTGTGCAATAAAACTTTGTGATGTCATCTATTAAAGAACAAACAATAGTGTCATTGTTATTATAGTTCATGTGTCATACAATATTTACCACACATAGCGTACATGTATTACATACTAGGACAGGTTAATCATGTAATCATTTCTAGGTCAGTTACTATATATATTCTCTCAGGCTGCTTCAGTGGTCATTTGTTTTTTAATGTTCCTGAAAGTTTTACTTGTGTTGTAAACTTTGACATATAAGTACTTAGTTTGTTTGACTAGTTTTTTCATTTCACATTTTACTGAGAAGATGAAATAATAACTTTGCTACTTACTTCCTCTATGTTCTCCAGGGCCCAGATCAGACGTAGACAAACCTGTGGAAAACACATATCTTTATCACCTAATAAAACATATAAACTTTCAAAATTCCACAAGTACTGACAAGGAGGGTATTGCTGTTGTGGATCCACCTTGGTAACAGTTTTGTATCCAACAAATTTGTATATTCTTCTAAGTGTATTTACATGTACGTCTGCCAAAGTGTATGTGTAGTTATGTCCCTTGCTGTCTGTCACAGTGTATGTGTAGTTATGTCCCTTGTTGTCTGTCACAGTGTATGCGTAGTTATGTCCCTTGTTGTCTGTCACAGTGTATGTGTAGTTATGTCCCTTGTTGTCTGTCACAGTGTAGATATGTCCCTTGTTGTCTGTCACAGTGTATGTGTAGTTATGTCCCTTGTTGTCTGTCACAGTGTATGTGAGTTCTGTCCCTTGTTGTCTGTCACAGTGTAGTTATGTCCCTTGTTATCTGTCACAGTGTAGTTATGTCCCTTGTTATCTGTCACAGTGTAGTTATGTCCCTTGTTGTCTGTCACAGTGTAGTTATGTCCCTTGTTATCTGTTACAGTGTAGTTATGTCCCTTGTTATCTGTCACAGTGTAGTTATGTCCCTAGGTGTCTGTCACAGTGTAGTTATGTCCCTTGGTGTCTGTCACAGTGTAGTTATGTCCCTTCTTATCTGTCACAGTGTAGTTATGTCCCTTCTTATCTGTCACAGTGTAGTTATGTCCCTTGGTGTCTGTCACAGTGTAGTAATGTCCCTAGGTGTCTGTCACAGTATAGTTATGTCCCTTGGTGTCTGTCACAGTGTAGTTATGTCCCTTGGTGTCTGTCACAGTGTAGTTATGTTCCTAGGTTTCCCTCACATTGTAGTTATGTCCTTTGGTGTCCCTCACAGTGTAGTTATGTCCCTTGGTGTCCCTCACAGTGTAGTTATGTCCCTTGGTGTCCCTCACAGTGTAGTTATGTCCCTTGGTGTCCGTCACAGTGTAGTTATGTCCCTTGGTGTCCCTCACAGTGTAGTTATGTCCCTTGGTGTCCCTCACAGTGTAGTTATGTCCATTGGTGTCCCTCACAGTGTAGTTATGTCCCTTGGTGTCCCTCACAGTGTAGTTATGTCCCTTGGTGTCCCTCACAGTGTAGTTATGTCCCTTGGTGTCCCTCACAGTGTAGTTATGTCCCTTGTTGTCTGCCACAGTGTAGTTATGTCCCTTGGTGTCTGCCACAGTGTAGTTATGTCCCTTGGTGTCCCTCACAGTGTAGTTATGTCCCTTGGTGTCCCTCACAGTGTAGTTATGTCCCTTGGTGTCCCTCACAGTGTAGTTATGTCCCTTGGTGTCCCTCACAGTGTAGTTATGTCCCTTGGTGTCCCTCACAGTGTAGTTATGTCCCTTGGTGTCCCTCACAGTGTAGTTATGTCCCTTGTTGTCTGCCACAGTGTAGTTATGTCCCTTGGTGTCCCTCACAATGTAGTTATGTCCCTTGGTGTCCCTCACAGTGTAGTTATGTCCCTTGGTGTCCCTCACAGTGTAGTTATGTCCCTTGGTGTCCCTCACAGTGTAGTTATGTCCCTTGGTGTCCCTCACAGTGTAGTTATGTCCCTTGGTGTCCCTCACAGTGTAGTTATGTCCCTTGGTGTCCCTCACAGTGTAGTTATGTCCCTTGGTGTCCCTCACAGTGTAGTTATGTCCCTTGGTGTCCCTCACAGTGTTGTTATGTCCCTTGGTGTCCCTCACAGTGTAGTTATGTCCCTTGGTGTCCCTCACAGTGTTGTTATGTCCCTTGGTGTCCCTCACAGTGTAGTTATGTCCCTTGGTGTCCCTCACAGTGTAGTTATGTCCCTTGGTGTCCCTCACAGTGTAGTTATGTCCCTTGGTGTCCCTCACAGTGTGTAGGTGTATGTATAACTATACTCTTTGACCTACAGATTTATTTTATGTAAACATAATTTTACATTTATAGTCCCTCACATGTGTAGTTTTTATGTATAACTCACAGTGTGTAGGTGTATGTATAACTATACTCTTTGACCTACAGATTTATTTTATGTAAACATAATTTTACATTTATAGTCTTCCCTCTTCTTCCCCCCGGACATGACATTGACAAACTAGAAGTTTTTATCCCTGTTCCCTATTATCATCAATGATTTATAACCATACTCAGTACACTGGTGTAGGAGAGATGTTTTATTATAACAAATGATTTATATACGCGGTACACTGGTGTAGGAGAGATGTTTTATTATAACAAATGATTTATATACTCAGTACACTGGTGTAGGAGAGACGTTTATTATAACAAATGATTTATATACTCAGTACACTGGTGTAGGAGAGACGTTTTATTATAACAAATGATTTATATACTCAGTACACTGGTGTAGGAGAGATGTTTTATTATAACAAATGATTTATATACGCGGTACACTGGTGTAGGAGAGATGTTTTATTATAACAAATGATTTATATACTCAGTACACTGGTGTAGGAGAGACGCTTTATTATAACAAATGATTTATATACTCAGTACACTGGTGTAGGAGAGATGTTTTATTATAACAAATGATTTATATACTCAGTACACTGGTGTAGGAGAGATGTTTTATTATAACAAATGATTTATATACTCAGTACACTAGTGTAGGAGAGATGTTTTTCTTACCTGATTTGACATGAACTTTAACACACTGGCTGCCAGGAATCTGGGTTGTCGTGTAAACAGGTGTAGAAGAGATGACCCTTTGTTCAAAGCCTTCAAGGAAAAAAACAAGTTCTCATATCTAAAACTCAGTCCAGTAACATCATAAGTTCATTTCTATATATTGTATTTCATAATTAAGTAATTTTATGTGCTTATATTGATATATATACATACAAATTTCATATTTCAGCATCAAACCGAATGAAAAAAAAAATTCAGCATCTCAGTTTTAGAATTGTTAATACCTGACAATGTCACTTACCCTGAGTGTGTAGGAACTGTTACATGACATGACATTGTCACCCTGTGTTTGTAGGAACTGTTCCATGACATGACATGGTCACTTACCCTGAGTTTGTAGGAACTGTTCCATGACATGACATTGTCACCCTGTGTTTGTAGGAACTGTTCCATGACATGACATGGTCACTTACCTGAGTTTTTAGGAACTGTTCCATGACATGACATTGTCACTTACCCGGAGTTTGTAGGAACTGTTACATGACATGACATTGTCACTATGTGTTTGTAGGAACTGTTCCATGACATGACACTGTCACTTACCCCGAGTTTGTAGGAACTGTTCCATGACATGACATTGTCACCCTGAGTTTGTAGGAACTGTTCCATGACAGGACATTGTCACTTACCCTGAGTTTGTAGGAACTGTTACATGACATGACATGGTCACTTACCCTGAGTTTGTAGGAACTGTTACATGACATGACATGGTCACTTACCCTGAGTTTGTAGGAACTGTTCCATGACATGACATTGTCACTTACCCTGAGTTTGTAGGAACTGTTCCATGACATGACATTGTCACCCTGTTTTTGTAGGAACTGTTCCATGACTTGACTTTGTCACTCACCCTGAGTTTGTAGGAACTGTTCCATGACATGACGTTGTCACCCTGTGTTTGTAGGAACTGTTCCATGACATGACATTGTCACTTACCCTGAGTTTTTAGGAACTGTTCCATGACATGAAATTGTCACTATGTGTTTGTAGGAACTGTTCCATGACATGACATTGTCACCCTGAGTTTGTAGGAACTGTTCAATGACAGGACATTGTCACTTACCCTGAGTTTGTAGGAACTGTTCCATGACATGACATTGTTACTTACCCTGAGTTTGTAGGAACTGTTCCATGGCTTGACATTGTCACTCACCCTTAGTTGGTAGGAACTGTTCCATGACATGACATTGTCACTTACCCCGAGTTTGTAGGAACTGTTCCATGACATGACATTGTTACTTACCCTGAGTTTGTAGGAACTGTTCCATGACTTGACGTTGTCACTTGCCCGTAAATCCTGCCACGTGATGAAGTTATGGAATGGTTTGCCTGTCTCCCTGTTGGAAGATTGATCATCATGTAATGGTGTTTAATCATGTAATACCAGATACTATATCTACAGTCTATATTTTCAAATTATCTCCCTTTTCTGGACTAAATAATTCAGTCTGTTTGTCACCAATTAAGAAGACTTAGTGACTTATTATAGTTTCAACTTCCATATATGGTAAAACAAGAATTACAATGATTTTTTTTAAAACAAATTCCTTTTAATCTGAATATTTTTGAATCCCCAAACCTTTTCCCATAACTTAGGTCAGGTCATCACAGATCTAATAATTTATATCAAACCTAAATGCTGATTTCACTTTTACAGAGAATTAGTGACAGAATACACAGACTTAACGTATCTGCTATTTCTCATTTTCACCCATTTTTGACAGATTTATTTCATGTCTAGAAACATAGAAATATAAATTCCGATCGAAATTTGATTTGGTTTATCTACAAATAGATTCAATATTTTAGGTAATGCTTTGCTGTATCTAATCATGCATGTTTACATTTACCCATAGTATTGAAACTGCTCAGAATAAGTTTTAATTTACAGACATTTAATACAATCCATATATATTATGTATAGGGACCTTTTCAACTTATTAATCAACTTTGGAACAAAGACAGATGTTTCACTTTAAAAAATGCTTAAATACACATAATTACCATTTTAATACCTTATAACTTAAAAGAAAGATTATTCATTCTAAACAAATTAATATAAAAAATAAGAGCTTCAATTAATGTACAGGGTATCATTTTCAAAGATTAAATATTTTTTTGCTATTTCAAGGAAAAGAATTCATGAGTATTTTCAAAAAGAACACACAATATCGTCAAAAAATAATATCATGTTTAGAGATCTCTGATTAGTAATCTATACTTACCTGTACCAGGTAAGGAATGTAGATCTCTGATTAGTTATCTATACTTACCTGTACCAGGTAAGGAATGTAGATCTCTGGGTAGTTATCTATACTTACCTGTACTAGGTAAGGAATGTAGATCTCTGATTAGTTATCTATACTTACCTGTACCAGGTAAGGAATGTAGATCTCTGATTAGTTATCTATACTTACCTGTACCAGGTAAGGAATGTAGATTTCTGGTTACTTATGTATACTTACCTGTACCAGGTAAGGAATGTATATCTCTGGTTACTTATCTATACTTACCTGTACCAGGTAAGGAATGTAGATCTCTGATTAGTTATCTATACTTACCTGATTAAGGAAGTTATCTATACTTACCTGTACCAGGTAAGGAATGCAGATCTCTGATTAGTTATCTATACTTACCTGTACTAGGTAAGGAATGTAGATCTCTGGGTAGTTATCTATACTTACCTGTACCAGGTAAGGAATGTAGATCTCTGATTAGTTATCTATACTTACCTGTACCAGGTAAGGAATGTAGATTTCTGGTTACTTATGTATACTTACCTGTACCAGGTAAGGAATGTAGATCTCTGATTAGTTATCTATACTTACCTGTACCAGGTAAGGAATGTATATCTCTGGTTACTTATCTATACTTACCTGTCCCAGGTAAGGAATGTATATCTCTGGTTACTTATCTATACTTACCTGTCCCAGGTAAGGAATGTATATCTCTGATTAGTTATTTATACTTACCTGTCCCAGGTAAGGAATGTAGATCTCTGATTAGTTATGTATACTTACCTGTACTAGGTAAGGAATGTAGATTTCTGGTTACTTATGTATACTTACCTGTACCAGGTAAGGGATGTAGATCTCTGATTAGTTATCTATACTTACCTGTACCAGGTAAGGAATGTAGATTTCTGGTTACTTATGTATACTTACCTGTACCAGGTAAGGAATGTATATCTCTGATTAGTTATCTATACTTACCTGTACCAGGTAAGGAATGTAGATCTCTGGGTAGTTATCTATACTTACCTGTACCAGGTAAGGAATGTATATCTCTGGTTACTTATCTATACTTACCTGTCCCAGGTAAGGAATGTATATCTCTGATTAGTTATCTATACTTACCTGTCACAGGTAAGGAATGTAGATCTCTGGTTACTTATCTATACTTACCTGTACCAGGTAAGGAATGTAGATTTCTGGTTACTTATGTATACTTACCTGTTAGTTATGTATACTTACCTGTACCAGGTAAGGAATGTAGATTTCTGGTTACTTATGTATACTTACTTGTACCAGGTAAGGAATGTATATCTCTGGTTACTTATCTATACTTACCTGTCCCAGGTAAGGAATGTATATCTCTGATTAGTTATCTATACTTACCTGTCCCAGGTAAGGAATGTAGATCTCTGATTAGTTATGTACCAGGTAAGGAATGTATATCTCTGATTAGTTATCTATACTTACCTGTCCCAGGTAAGGAATGTATATCTCTGGTTACTTACCTGTACCAGGTAATATGTATACCTGTCCCAGGTAAGGAATGTATATCTCTGGTTACTTATCTATACTTACCTGTCCCAGGTAAGGAATGTATATCTCTGGTTACTTATCTATACTTACCTGTCCCAGGTAAGGAATGTATATCTCTGATTAGTTATCTATACTTACCTGTCCCAGGTAAGGAATGTAGATCTCTGATTAGTTATGTATACTTACCTGTCACAGGTAAGGAATGTAGATTTCTGGTTACTTATGTATACTTACCTGTACCAGGTAAGGAATGTAGATCTCTGATTAGTTATCTATACTTACCTGTACCAGGTAAGGAATGTAGATTTCTGGTTACTTATGTATACTTACCTGTACCAGGTAAGGAATGTATATCTCTGATTAGTTATCTATACTTACCTGTACCAGGTAAGGAATGTAGATCTCTGGGTAGTTATCTATACTTACCTGTACCAGGTAAGGAATGTATATCTCTGGTTACTTATCTATACTTACCTGTCCCAGGTAAGGAATGTATATCTCTGATTAGTTATCTATACTTACCTGTCACAGGTAAGGAATGTAGATCTCTGGTTACTTATCTATACTTACCTGTACCAGGTAAGGAATGTATATTTCTGGTTACTTATGTATACTTACCTGTCACAGGTAAGGAATGTAGATTTCTGGTTACTTATGTATACTTACCTGTACCAGGTAAGGAATGTAGATTTCTGGTTACTTATGTATACTTACTTGTACCAGGTAAGGAATGTATATCTGGTTACTTATCTATACTTACCTGTCCCAGGTAAGGAATGTATATCTCTGATTAGTTATCTATACTTACCTGTCCCAGGTAAGGAATGTAGATCTCTGATTAGTTATGTATACTTACCTGTCCCAGGTAAGGAATGTAGATCTCTGATTAGTTATCTATACTTACCTGTACCAGGTAAGGAATGTATATCTCTGGTTACTTATGTATACTTACCTGTACCAGGTAAGGAATGTAGATTTCTGGTTACTTATGTATACTTACCTGTACCAGGTAAGGAATGTTGATTTCTGGTTACTTATGTATACTTACTTGTACCAGGTAAGGAATGTATATCTCTGGTTACTTATGTATACTTACCTGTCCCAGGTAAGGAAGGTAGATCTCTGATTAGTTATCCCCAGGCATGTCACCTGCCCAGGAGTGATATTAGCAGCTTAAAGATAAAAAGTAATCAAGCTATAAAAATAGCGTACCTGTAAATTGTCACAACATTCCTCACAGATGATAAAGTTCTCTTACAATCTTGGCAATTTAGCTCAAGTACACATAATTTGATAAACTAACCTTTTCAAATAAGACAGACACAACATTATTCAATTCCTATTATAACCAAGCACATTTGATTTAAGAACACTTTCATGACATTAATTCTTACTTCAACTTGAAATATTTTTTTCAAAATGAAATACACTGAAAGTTGAATGTAATACTTACCTCTTATGGATTCTTTTATACACTCGACAGCCTGTTGTACTAATAGGTCAGGGTCAATTTCTACCCATCGTGGTTCTGGGTACATAAGCTGTATCTATAACAGTCCAAAACATAACTGTCAGCTACAACACATACGGAGATGACAATACTTCTGGTTAAGAAATAAAATAACCTTCATATGAACAACTGGGTGGTCGATTGGTCAGGTGGTCAGTTGATCGGGTGGTTGAGTGGCACAGAGGTTGAGTGGTCAGGTGGTTGCTTAGTACAGTTGTTGGATGGTCAATTGACGAGGTGGTCAGATGGTTAGGTGGTGTAATGGTTGGGTGGCACAGTAGTTAGGTAAATGGGTGACATGGTAACATACTCCCATACTAGCTTGCCATTCGGGGTTCAACTCCCTGGATAGACGTAAAAAACGAAGAAGGTCACCTGCCCAACCACCTTGCTTTCCCTGGCTAAGACCCCCTGCATGCTTATCTGGGCCAACAGGGGTAGAAAGCTCTAATCAGGGGCAGTAACTCTGCACAATAATTGTTACATTATACATCTGACAATCACCCAAGTATTGTCTCTATAATTTGACAATAAAAGTTGACCAAAGACATTGACTTCAAACATTGTCTCATTCTTCTTGACACAACAGCATGACAACAAAGAAATATTAACTTGTGTCAAAAAACAGGAATGACATCTACATATAGGGAAAACATGGTCAGTGTCTTCAGATATTCCTTAAACACTTGACAAGTAATAAGACATGATTCTATATGAAATGAATTCCACCATAATTTCTTTGACTTTTTGTTTTTAAACATTTGTTATCTGTAGTTGCACTTATAGATATAAAAATTAAACTTTTACGTCACCCTAGGTACAGGATAAATAAGTGTTCCCTCACCCCCAGGTGCAGAATAAATAAGTATTCCCTCACCCTCAGGTGTAGGATAAATAAGTATTCTCTCACCCCCCAGGTGTAGGATAAATAAGAATTCCCTCACCCCCCAGGTGTAGGATAAATAAGTATTCCTCACACCCCCAGGTGTAGGATAAATAAGTATTCCCACACCCCCAGGTACATGATAAATAAGTATTCCCTCATCCCCAGATACAGGATAAATAAGTATTCCCACACCCCCAGGTGTTGGATAAATAAGTATTCCCTGACCCCCAAGTATATGATAAATAAGTTTTCCTTCACCCTAATGTAGGATAAAATAAGTATTCCCACACCCCCAGGTGCAGGATAAATAAGAATTCCCTCACCTCCAGGTACAGGATAAATAAGAATTCCCTCATTCCATTCCCAGGTACATGATAAATAAGTATTCCCTCACCCCCAGGTGTAGGATAAATAAGTATTCCCTCACCCCCAGGTGTAGGATAAATAAGTAAGCCCTCACCCCTAGGTACATGATACATAAGTATTCCCTCACCCCCAGGTACACACCCCCAGGTGTAGGATAAATAAGTATTCCTTACACCCCCAGGTGTAGGATGAATAAGTTTTCCCTCATCCCCAGGTGTAGGATAAATAAGTATTCCCACACCCCCAGGTACATGATAAATAAGTATTCCCTCATCCCCAGATACAGGATAAATAAGTATTCCCACACCCCCAGGTGTTGGATAAATAAGTATTCCCTGACCCCCAAGTATATGATAAATAAGTTTTCCTTCACCCCCCACACCCCCAGGTGCAGGATAAATAAGAATTCCCTCACCTCCAGGTACAGGATAAATAAGAATTCCCTCATTCCCAGGTACATGATAAATAAGTATTCCCTCACCCCCAGGTGCAGGATAAATAAGAATTCCCTCACCCCCAGGTGTAGGATAAATAAGTATTCCCTCACCCCCAGGTGTAGGATAAATAAGTATTCCCTCACCCCCAGGTGCAGGATAAATAAGAATTCCCTCACCCCCAGGTACAGGATAAATAAGTATTCCCTCACCCCTAGGTACAGGATAAATAAGTATTCCCTCACCCCCAGGTGCAGGATAAATAAGAATTCCCTCACCCCCAGGTACAGGATAAATAAGTATTCCCTCACCCCTAGGTACAGGATAAATAAGTATTCCCTCACCCCCAGGTGCAGGATAAATAAGAATTCTCTCACCCCCAAGTACAGGATAAATAAGTATTCCCTCACCCCCAGGTGTAGGATAAATAAGTATTCCTTACACCCCCAGGTGTAGGATAAATAAGTTTTCTCTCACCCCCAGGTGTAGGATAAATAAGTATTCCCTCACCCCCAGGTTTAGGATAAATAAGTTTTCCCCCACCCCAAAGTGTAGAATAAATAAGTTTTCCCACACCCCCAGGTACAGGATAAATAAGTATTCCCTCAACCCTAGGTACAGGATAAATAAGTATTCCCTCACCCCAGGTGCAGGATAAATAAAAATCCCTCACCCCCAGGTACAGGATAAATAAGTATTCCCTCACCCCTAGGTACAGGATAAATAAGTATTCCCTCACCCCCAGGTGCAGGATAAATAAGAATTCTCTCACCCCCAGGTACAGGATAAATAAGTATTCCCTCACCCCCAGGTGTAGGATAAATAATTATTCCTTACACCCCCAGGTGTAGGATAAATAAGTTTTCTCTCACCCCCAGGTGTAGGATAAATAAATATTCCCTCACCCCCAAGTTTAGGATAAATAAGTTTTCCCCCACCCCAAAGTGTAGAATAAATAAGTTTTCCCACACCCCCAGGTACAGGATAAATAAGTATTCCCTCACCCCCAGGTGTAGGATAAATAAGTATTCCCTCACCCCCAGGTGTAGGATAAATAAGTTTTCCCTCGCCCCTAGGTGTAGGATAAATAAGTATTCCCTCACCCCCAGGTGTAGGATAAATAAGTATTCCCACACCCCCAGGTACAGAATAAATAAGTATTCCCTCACCCCCAGGTGTAGGATAAATGAGTATTCCCTCACCCCAGGTGTAGGATGAATAAGTTTTCCCTCATCCCCAGGTGTAGGATAAATAAGTATTCCCTCACCCCCAGGTGTAGGATAAATAAGTATTCCCTCACCCCCAGGTGTAGGATAAATAAGTATTCCCTCACCCCCAGGTGTAGGATAAATAAGTATTCCCTCACCCCCAGGTGTAGGATAAATAAGTATTTCGCTCACCCCCAGGTGTAGGATAAATACGTTTTCCCTCGCCCCTAGGTGTAGGATAAATAAGTATTCCCTCACCCCCAGGTGTAGGATAAATAAATTCCCTCACCCCCAGGTGTAGGATAAATTCCCTCACCCCCAGGTGTATTCCCTCACCCCCAGGTGTAGGATAAATAAGTATTCCCTCACCCCCAGGTGTAGGATAAATAAGTATTCCCTCACCCGCAGGTGTAGGATAAATAAGTATTCCCTCACCCCCAGGTGTAGGATAAATAAGTATTCCCTCACCCCCAGGTGTAGGATAAATAAGTATTCCCTCACCCCCAGGTGTAGGATAAATAAGTATTCCCTCACCCCCAGGTGTAGGATAAATAAGTATTCACCCCAAAGTGTAGAATAAATAAGTTTTCCCACACCCCCAGGTACAGGATAAATAAGTATTCCCTCACCCCCAGGTGTAGGATAAATAAGTATTCCCTCACCCCCAGGTGTAGGATAAATAAGTTTTCCCTCGCCCCTAGGTGTAGGATAAATAAGTATTCCCTCACCCCCAGGTGTAGGATAAATAAGTATTCCCACACCCCCAGGTACAGAATAAATAAGTATTCCCTCACCCCCAGGTGTAGGATAAATAAGTATTCCCTCACCCCCAGGTGTAGGATAAATAAGTATTCCCTCACCCCCAGGTGTAGGATAAATAAGTATTCCCTCACCCCCAGGTGTAGGATAAATAAGTATTCCCTCACCCCCAGGTGTAGGATAAATAAGTATTCCCTCACCCCCAGGTGTAGGATAAATAAGTATTCCCTCACCCCCAGGTGTAGGATAAATAAGTATTCCGTCACCCCCAGGTGTAGGATAAATAAGTATTCCCTCACCCCCAGGTGTAGGATAAATAAGTATTCTGTCACCCCCAGGTGTAGGATAAATAAGTATTCCGTCACCCCCAGGTGTAGGATAAATAAGTATTCCCTCCCCCCCAGGTGTAGGATAAATAAGAATTCCCTCACCCCCAGGTGTAGGATAAATAAGTATTCCCTCACCCCCAGGTGTAGGATAAATAAGTATTCCCTCACCCCCAGGTGTAGGATAGATAAGTATCTCCTCACCCTTTTGCTGCTTGAGCCTTTGATGCTGCCATCTTTTACATAGACATGGCTCCTCATGGTTGTGGTGCCGATGTCGAGGGAGATGATGTAAGGCGTGACATCATTAGGCACTTGTCCCTCACCTTTGCCAAGGTTCATACCGTCACCAAGGACTTTCTGTTTATAACAAAATACTGTATATGATATACTGATCAACAATGTAAATGGAACAATGGGGCTTATGTACCTGCATTGCTCATGATAATCAAGCATTTTACAATAAAAGGACACAGAATCAAATTCATTTTATGCTCATTGAAAGCAAACTTATTACTTAGATAAAACAATGTTTGGTCCAATAATTAACAATATTTCACATATATAACAAATAGGGTGAGAAAATAAGTTAAGGTTCATTAGTTAATATCAATATTCTACACTTATTTTTCTTTTTTCATTATTTTTTTTAATTCCACAAAAATGGATCCTATTTTAGTGATTTTGAATCAACAAGTGGGAATAATAAACTGATTTTTTTAACCTGGTTTAATCTAGTTATGTCATTTTAACCACAATTTAAAAAATCACAATAAAAAAACACTTTTGATTACTTTTCCTTTGGATTTTATTGAAAATATTTACCCTATATTACACATGCTTATACTTTCCAATTTGACACTCAGTAACACTGATGACAATAAAGGATTACCACCATTTATATCAATTCCAAACCTACACTGTTTGTATGTACTTTATTATAACAAAATGAACTTACGCTATAAAATCGTGTCCGCTGTGCCCTGTCATCCATATGTTTCACCCCTGAATTAATAATATGTGTGATGACATCATTATTCATGAATCAATAAGTGGTAGAATGGCACAAGACCTAGTGTAAAATCTTTTTTTAAATGATTTAAACTGCAAAATTGAATTGCTCTGCATCAAATGACAAAATAATTCTGTAGTGACTTAGAAAGCAAGCTTCTTCTTCCAGTCAGTACAGTTTACCATCTGGCCCCAATTGTTCAAAGGCTTGTTAGAGATAACCAGTGGTTGGTGAAAACTTTTAAATGTGATTAAAAAATTGTGTTCGTTCTTTATAATTTCACAGCTATAAAGTTGTTGAAAAAGGCCAAATTGACATTTTTAAGTGTCAAGATTACTTTTAAGTCCTTGTTTTTACAGTGGCAGCAATTTTTATTTTTCCACTAATTATATAACTACTGGTTAACTCAGACTTTGAGCAACTGGGCCTGGTGTATTAATTCCTTAATATATACTATATATGTAATATATACTACACTGGTTGTAGGATCGCTTGTTCAATCAATAGCAATAATGTAAAAAAAACTTTTCTAATAAACCTTTTCTTTATGACTATATATAAATGTAGCTTATCAATAAGGAAATTGAAACTGTTGACTTTGATACCATCTACAATACTTTCATGACCGTACATCGCTCAGGTCCAGGGGAAGTTACAGATCCAATACATATCATCTCTCAAATCTAAGGATGAACAATCAACGGAAATAACATACCGTGACACATCGATCTCGTGCATTGACAAAATCAAACACCGACTGATTTATTAAAGTCATATTAATAAACTCACGATTTCTTATTCCTACACGTCACCATTTGTTTTTAAAGGTCCGTCCGCCATTTTGATCAAGTCATGTGATAAACCATAGGCCCAGTATTTACTGACATTCAGACGTTTCCATAACAAAGTTTAGAAGTGATCTGATGACAAAAATTTCAAATAAAGAAAGAATCTGCAAATAAAACAAGAAATATCTTATAATATTTCTTTTCGTCGATTGATTAATTGTGAATGATATTGAAATGAGGTTCTTTTTCACACTTCATGTATGTACTCCTCGGTAGTATAGTGGTAAGTATCCCCGCCTGTCACGCGGGAGACCGGGGTTCAATTCCCCGCCGGGGAGCGTACTTTTTTTTTTTCTTTTCTATTTTTTGTAATTTTCCCTACCTTTGCCACACCCTTGTCATTATTTGTATCCATTATTATGCGTTCTACTTTCCGTATGTCAAGTTTTAAAGCACGGAAATTTCGATACCAAGATGATACTACGGATTTGTATATCTAGATCATTGTCGTGTAAACAACGTTTCCTAGCTGGTTGTCTCACTGTTCAACCAAGCCTTTGTCTAAACTAATAACCATCATTCTAAGTACTATCAATATTTCGGTAACAGTCTTATTGCGATACTTTTCAATCAAGAAGTGGAATTATTAGTATGTGGATTTTGAAGAACACCACCATGCCCCATTCTAAACTGAAAGTAAGTTTTTGTTCATCTCCGAGAAAGGCTAACGGCGGTATAAATATATGTTTGTGAACTAAACTGAAGCGTATTTCGTAAAATTTACCTCCAAATCAAAGAAGAGATATCCGGAGGACGAAATCATCAAAGTGATCCAGTTTTTGGTTGACAACACTTTCGTCGGGTTTGATGGTAAGATCTTCCAACAGGCTATTGGCATACCTATGGGACCAAACTGCACCCCTCTGTTGGCCGACTTGTTTTTTGTTTTCATACGAGGCTGAATGTATTGAACAGCTTATCAGAACAGGCCACAATAACCTTGCAAAGTCGTTTAATTTCACCTTCAGAGCTATTGATGACGTCTTGTCTTAAAATAACAAGAAATCTATTGACTAGGTCCATCGTGTATATCCACCAGACCCGGAAATCAAAGACACGACAGACTCTTCTACATCAGCTGCTTATCTCGATCTTTTCCTAGAACGAAACCAACATGGACAGCTTTCCATCAAGCTGTATGATAAACGTGATGATTTCAATTTTCTTATAGTGAATTTTCCATTTTTGGATAGTAACAATCCCTTCATCTCCAACCTGTGTTATTTACATGTCACAGTTGATTCATATTCAAGGGCTTGTTCCCATTATCACGATTTTCGTGCAAGAAGTCGTAAACTGACAGACAAACTCGTACCACAAGGGATCAAAAGATGCAGGATGATGAAATTATGGGGAAGTTTTAAGGTCGCCATAGTGATCTCATTAAAAAATATTCTACTTTTTTGTGTGACATGAAGCTGGACGTATTTGACGCTCGTTAGTTTGCCTGTTGGTTCCCTTGTTGTATATCTTGTTCTCATTAGATAACGTGACATTACTTACTTGGATTGAAAAAAAACTACATTGCAGGTGTCGTCAACGAAATAGAAGACGCTTACTCTTCCGGAACACCCGGCATTATACTCCTTGTGCTTTTTCAGGAGTCTCCGTGTAAATCTTTCTGTTGTTCATAGTTTTATGGAATTTGAGTGTGAACTATGATTATGTTGCCGTGGTGGTATTTTCTTGATGTTTTTTTCCGTGGCGATAAGCATAATCAAAATTTGTTTTTAGCTTATACGCTGAATGACCCTTACAACAGACGTTAAGCCTGTTAAGAAATTAATCAAATGACAGATTTCTCTAAAGTAACAAAAAGGATGAAGAGTATATTTCACACAGAAAACCGGATTTTTATTCACCAGAACATCGAATCTGTATGTTTTAAATAATTGGTGATACTTTTCAAACTTAACAAGAAAAAGTGATTGGTATAATATGTTCAAACATTTTCTTCGGATTTGTAATATCAAGAATAAAAGTTTCTATAACACGACCAGCAAGATTGTGACGTTTCGACTTTGTTAGGTTACCGCTCTCGCCTTTGTAAGGGACTCCACATCAGTCGTCTCCAACGATACATCTTTTTTTAAATGCCCACTAAATACATGTACAAGACGGAAAAGAATTTATAAAAATAGTTGTTTATTTCGAGTTTCGAGGATCAGAACGTCTTTAAAGAATCTACGACTAGCGGTCAGATTGGCAGGGACGGGAGTACTCTGTTGGTAGGTCTGATTGGCAGGGACGGGAGTACTCTGTTGGTAGGTCTGATTGGCAGGAACGGGAGTACTCTGTTGGTAGATTTGATTTGCAGGGACGGGAGTGCCCTGTTGGTAGGTCTCATTGGCAGGGACGGGTCTACTCTGTTGGTAAGTCTCATTGGCAGGGACGGGAGTACTCTGTTGGTAAAAAAGGGCATGGTTAACTGTTTTCATTATCTATTTAAAATTTCCCGTCAAAATCATGAATTCGTCTTATAATCAGGCTATTTCATGATGTTTTAAACTATGTTGATGCAACAAAGCGTTTTAATTTTTAAAGAATGCAATCTTTCTACTAAGGGGGATAACTCTTTCAGTCTTATTCCACAAAAAAATATCTACCGTATTTAACAAGTCCTGAAAACGTATTTAGTGTCATTCACAACAACAATGTGTGTGTTTCAGAAAATGATTTGGTTGGGTTATTCCATGCCTTATTTATTGGACGTAAACGCATACAATGTATTTCATTTCTCGCATCACTTCTTCATAGACAGTGGACCATTTCGTGACATAGTAAAAATATTTATTTCTGTCAATATTTGACTATGAACCAAAACTTACATAGTTGTTATGTTGATTAGAATTTCTCTAAAATGATGTTTTATAAAATCGCAGATTATATTAATAGATGTAACGTAGAATACAAACAAGTCTAATTACGACTTCAAAATCTTTCAATGAAACTGATAGTCAAGTTGCTTGTCTCAAATTGTGGGATGATAATCAATCAATCAATCAATCAATCCATCAATCAATTACAATCAATCAATCAATCACAATCAACCAATCAGTCAGTCAATCAATCAATCAATCAATCAATCAACCAATCAATCAATCAACCAATCAATCAATCCACCACAATCAATCAATCAGTCAATCAATCAATCAATCAATCAATCAATCACAATCAACCAATCAGTCAATCAATCAATCAATTATTCAATCAATCAATCAACCAACTAATCAATCAATTAACCAATCAATCAGTCAATCAGTCAATCAATCAATTAACCAATCAATCAATCAATCAACCAACTAATCAATCAATTAACCAATCAATCAGTCAATCAATCAACCAACTAATCAATCAATCAATCAATCAATCAGTCAATCAATCAACCAATCAGTCAATCAATCAATCAATCAATCAATCACAATCAACCAATCAGTCAATCAATCAATCAATCAGTCAATCAATCAATCAATTATTCAATCAATCAATCAACCAACTAATCAATCAATTAACCAATCAATCAGTCAATCAGTCAACCAATCAATCAATCAATCAATGAGTTGACATACGAGACATTATCAAAGTTAACAGAAATTAAGCATTTCTTACATTATCAAAGTTTTAACATTATTTTTCTTCTTTTACACGATGATTTACTTAAATCAGGAAAGGTCCTTGTCCATGTTGTACTAGGATATCAACATTGATAGTGATAAACGACACGATTTATCTTTAAAATCGTTGTAAATCCGTACACGTATAAATGACACTGAATTACTTAACAAGATTTATGTTTAAAATCGTTGTAAATCAGCACACGTAGAAATGATACTAAATTACTTAACAAGGATAAGGTTGTATATGTCAATACAATCTATACAAGGAAGTGACAATATTCCAGGCTTCCACATACTTATCGTAATTGTTGTGCAATAAAACGTGATTTCGTACGAGAATGTGGAACGTGTGCTGACAAGTATCTGACACCTCGGGGATCAGTTTATTACCAGCAAACTTAACACCCACATTGAGAATCAGCCTTATAAATCAACAGATTTAACAACTTTCCCTAACCTAAATCTCTTAGGGTGTTTTGTTCAATATTTGTATGTTTTGTGTCGCTGAAAGATTTATGTATGTATGTATGTATGTATGTATGTATGTATGTATGTATGTATGTATGTATGTATGTATGTATGTATGTATGTATGTATGTATGTATGTATGTATGTATGTATGTATGTATGTATGTATGTATGTATGTATGTATGTATGTATGTATGTATGTATGTATGTATGTATGTTATATGTATGTATGTATGTATGTATGTATGTATGTATGTATGTATGTATGTATGTATGTATGTATGTATGTATGTATGTATGTATGATGATGTATGTATGTATGAAACACAAAAGATTATTTGTGCGAGGATTTGTATCTTTATGATAATTCTGTTTGAGCAAAGTTAGATAAATATATATTAGATGGTGTGTGTTTAATTACGTAGTGTTATGGAGGCGATTGAGATCGGTTACTATGAGAACTGAGAGAATTGGGAATTGTTATATGTTGTTGTCGCTGGCTTTAAACTTGACAATACTACATATAATGTTCATTCTAACGAAATGGAGTGTTCATGTTCTGAAACAAAAAACCTTATCCAACATAAATAAATACTATTTTTGTTTATAGATAGTGTAGTTGTGTCATTTATTTACATGTAGGGGAAAAACGTGAAAAATAGAATCTGAACTCTGTAGGACACTTTACAGTCTGGTACAATGATTAGACCGTTCATGTGTCATTGTTTTCTATGTATAAGCATGGTTCCCTGTCAACCCCCTACGGAGTATTTGACTGGACTTTAATTTGACTTTAAACACAAAGTGTGTTTTTATTCCTTTATCTCCAAAAATCTCTTGTCTAGTTCTTTAGTCGTTAAAACAAGGTCGGATTTCATTTCACTGTCTTTTTAAGCC